TAATAACATTAAGCCCAATACTCCATTATTCTTGTCGCCGATTCGTGTTTAGAGGGTGTTTTGAGTTCTTGACTTCAGATATTTTTGGAGAACTTTCTTGATCTATTCTTAATGTTTTCCAAAATGACTTCTAAAAGCCCCCTTTTTTCATCTTTATTTTTTCATTTAAAAAAAATAACTTTTCATGATGTTTCCCAATCCGAGCTCTAATATTTCTCGCCAGAAACATTAAAAAATCACAGCTCCTGAGCAGAGTGCCGTGGAAAACTTCAGACCGGGCAGGACAAGAATAGTCGAGTAGAGCGTTGTCTTTTCAACGAGAAATCGACCAAGTTTCCAGTATAAAATCATGCAGAAAAAGCTCATTTCATATGAAAAACGGCAGCTTTGTTCACGAATGCGAGGGAGTGTACAGGGGAAAAACAAAAGGCATCAGACAGTAGAAACAAAACTCATAATCATTATAGCTACCGGTAGCACATTGTTCCGGGCGGCAGACAATAACACCTCTGGTGCTCACGGGAGAGGTACTCCAGGAATATTCCGAACCCCAGCATATTAAGGGGACGAGGGGGGCAGGCGGGAGGAAAGCCGGGGAGGAGGGTTTTACTTCACAACGCAGATACAACCCGAAGCAGGGTTGTCTACCTTTCCAATGAGGTGACCTGAGGTCTTCAGCATTCATTCTCATAGTAGTAATAGTAACAACTAGAAATTTAATTCATAGACTATTTTATATTGAAAAAAAAAAGATAATATTTACGAAAATCTTGATTATATTTATAGTCTCATTACAGGATCTCTCTTGGGTTGCCTTTAGTTAGTTTATTACTTACCTCCTATGTCTATTGCGACCACCCGCTTCCACCCATAGGATCCTTCCTTATACTTTTTGTTTTCTATGTCCATAGTTTAGTCTATCAATTTCAACAATCAACCCGCTCAGACGGATCTAACTATTTCAAGAGTTTCCCAATTCCTTTAAGAACTACCATCAAAGCACGATTCTTTGAGACTTGCACCTGTTCAGTCCCTTCACATTTTTAGAAAGACAGCTCATGAAAGCCCCATCTCTACTCAAAAGCATGTCGACGGTGAAACCTCCAAACCACGTATCTCGATTTGCGACGTTGCAGACTTCCTGTCATACTTTATTTTTTAGGTGGAAATCCACTCAAGGTCAATTCTTGAAAACCTCCGTGATTTTTCGTCTCGGCGTGAAGGAGAATCTGTGAAGACCTCAAGGAATGATATTAGTTTGTTCTTTTTCACAAAAATAAAATGGGATCGGAGATTTTAAAACACCGCAAACGTAAGTTTCAACGTCGATGTGCGAGTCCAGTTTCGTGGATTTCAGTGGCGTGGCGTGCTTTGCGATATCGTCACCTTTCGGGCAAAGTATCACAAGCGTCATGCGACGTTTAAAAATTTCCGCCGCCATTTTATTTCTTTACAGAGAAATTGTTCAACGAAGCTGTCCGAAAATTTAACTGAATTTTCTTTGTGCTGCAGATGATATTCAGTGAAATTCTGAAACTGACTCAACTAAGAATTTCTCTGTAAAAAAATAAAATGCCGGCGGAAATTTTTGAACGTCGCATGGCGCTTGTGATACTTTGCCCGGAAGGTGACGATATATCGAGTGATACGCCACTCAAACCTATGAAAAAAGTCGATTATCAGGGTGTTCGCAGCGAACACCTTAGTAATCGATTCTTTACCATAGCTTCAAATGGGGAGGTATCGATAATCGATCCTTCACGCCACGCCACTGGTGGATTTGCCCTCTGGACGATGGGACGACCCCAGGACGGACTTGGCATCCATGTCGGACGCTCTAATTTTATCCGCGGCAGACGCGTCTAAATGACAATGCGTGTTCCCGCGTCGCGTCGCGTCGGGCCGGGCGAAGCAGGTCAGCGACTTGGCACACCCGGATGTGGGCTACGCTGTCCTGCTCTGGAAAAACGGCATATGAGCTGTCAAAAGTTGCAAAATTGCATGTCAAAAGTTGCATATATTTACAACGGTACAATATTTGGACTGAGTTAAGCAGAAAGGAACCAACCCACATTATGGAAAAAATTGAGTTATGAGTGGTTTTGAACTCAACCACTGCTCTACTCTCTATCGCCAAAAATTCAAAGTTTTTGTTGGAGCAAATTTTGCAGAAATTGAACTTGAAGTTTATCCTTTACATTGAGTCTTATGCAGGAGCTAAACTTTAAACCTCTTTTTCTCGGTTCGATCCCGATGTGGCTTGGTTCCTTTCTGTTTAACTCCGTCCATTTATTTTTGGGACAAATTTCAAATATGAACGTCCACGGGAAAGAATCTTGGACCACAGAAACTGAAAATCGAGTTATTATTGATCCCGGAGAATAGAATTATGATGTACAAACGTTCCATACTAAAAAAAGTAGTTCTGGTCACAGGGCTCCTGCGCTTTCTTTGTTACAGCTACACAAGTTTCCTTTACGACTACAGAGCACTCTGTGCTCCCGACTGAAGCTCTGTTCTCACAACAGAAAAGTTCTTTAAGTGTAACAAAGAAAGTGCAGGAGCCCTGAATAGAAGGTTCAGTTACCAGCACCGACTATTTTTCTTGCAAGGTGATATAAAAAGCGCAAAAATGTCAGTCCAAATTTCAATAATGGCAATTTGAATTTTGCAGTTCCGAAAACGTAGTCTTGGAAATGAGCTATTTGAAATTATGATCGGCTTATGGTTATTGAGCATGAAATCATGAACTATATTGTAACTTTAAGCTTTCTTTTAGCACAAAAACGAAGTAAATCGCTCACTAGAACACTCGAGAGAGTTTTACGTCGAAATATAAAGTTCAGATTCTTCTTTCAACTGTAGCCAAAAATCGCTCTACTGAAATAAAACGTTCCTGTGAACTGAGGTGTCTTTTTTGTGAACGTTCATACGGTCACTCAACTCACTCACTCTTCCCTCTTGACTGACGCGATACTTCTAATCACGAATAGAAACCTTCCAATATTTTCAGGAGAGATGTTCACAGGTTTTCGAAACAATATTGTTTTCAGGGTTGCGACAGTCAAAGAATACCGAGAAAACCGGGGAATATCGGGGAATTTTAAAAAGTCAGGGAAAATGACGAAAATGTCCGAAAAAAATTATCAAGTCACCTTTCTTGACAGTATTATGACCTATTATGAGTTTAACATTTCGAACGACAAAGGCCTAAAAAATATTTCTTCTTAGGTATTTTTAACCATCTGACATATTTTCAATTGTCAGGAATTTTCACTAAAATGTGTCAGGGAAATTAGGGCAATGTCAGGGAATTTCATTTTCTAAATTGTGTGGCAACCCTGGTTTTTTTTTCGATTGCAATTTGGCAAAGCTCTAGGGTTCTTACGGTGTTTTCTCTTAGCGCGACAGCACGGATTGTCGCGGTCTTGGCACTGCAGCAATTTGTCCTCGCTTTTCCGCTCCGTCATTCAACTCTGACGAAGATGTCTCGGGCCGAGAAGAGGGTGCATTAGCGAGTAAAGTTGACCTTATCCCGCTCCCATTCCATGGTTCCAACGGTCACGCTCCTCCCCGCAGAGCCACTCTCGTTCCAGCAGTCGCTGCAAGGCTGCGACCAACAATCGCGAGCAACTCTCGGAAAAACGGTTTTTATCTTGGGGGAGGAGGGCAAGAATTTACCGGAGTTGCCGGGAAGTTCGACCTGCTAAACAATTTTAAAACATCATAACTATTAAGTGTAAACAATTGACGAAATAAATATTAATGTGCATTGTGCAATGGCATTGACATGGCGGGCGTCTGGTGATCGTTCGTTTACTTTTTTCCGATAAATTGTAAGCAGGAGATTACATCCTGGATCCAGTTTTAAACATCTTGTTACAATGAACCACTAGACAAGGTACGAATTTAAGCATTCTGATACGTATTTTTTAACCAAAATTTCACGTAAAACACGATGCGCACAACAAAAATTACCGAAATCAACTCCTTACAATGATATTAAATGATTCCTGATGCGTGAATTCAAACCACCCGCTCATTAAAACTCAATGCTCAACGTGATTCACATCGCGCGCTGAACATTATCATGGCAGTCTTTGCGATATAAAAATCTGGCAACCTCAATCTTGACGCTTGGGCTCAGCTATATCAAATTGCTTATACTTTGAACAACACATGGTGGGTTATGAACAGTGATCGATCGAGAGGCTAGCTGAAACTGTTGTGGTGCGCGATTTGACTTACGTAGAGCTTTGAGTTTCTTGTCAGCGGGCAGTTCAAAATCCGCGTAAAGAATGTAAAATAAAAAGGTTAATATCTTCATCAGGAGCTGGTTTCAGTAATTTTCGTTGCGCGAATCGTGTTCTACGTGAAATTCTGGTTAAGTAACATGTATCAAATTGCTTAAATTCGTACCTTGTCTAGTGGTCCATTTAGTATATTTGTAATAAAAGCATTGTATGATATGAGGGAGTGCCAACTCCCTGGTGGGTTGTGGGAGGACCGAGTTTTGTGGAGGTTAGGCGTCGCAGAGCGCCAGAGAGCGACTCTTATGTATGTATTTTATTCTTAAAAACGAAACGAAAATAACGTGGCTCTAATGTCTGTGCCAATTTTGTACAAGTAATTTGGTGGGAACAATGTTTTTTTTAAAAGTTTTTTAAAGCTTATTCACTGTAGGATACAATTATAAAGACTTGGTTTTTCGCCCTGGTTCGTTCAAAGGCAGCCCGGGTCAAGGTGGTTACAATCTGTAATGTGTAGGACATCAGAGATTCGTGCATATAACAGAAAATATAAGTCAAAAACAACCATGAGACATATCAATGATGTCTTGTCCCTTTCAAGGGGAAAACATTCCGCTAAAAAATGTCTACCGATTTCTGCTCCTTAATATTGCGGATGCTCTTTTTTCAATTTATGCATTTTCATGTTTATTTGCCGGTGTTTTCAGAGTTGCCACTCTCTCTAATCTTTCCATTTTCTTTCTGTTTCAGACGACGGGGGAGAGCAAGATCCCGGTCTTCGTCTCGAAGCCGCTAGCGACAAAATTCTCGACCCCGCTGACGAACCTGTCGAACCGGGTGCGGGCGCACCTCTCCGAACCGCCCAAACTGCCAGGTCCCGGGATCCTGGGCCTCTTCGGCGCCACCAGCCCCATCTCGCGGACGTGCAAGAAAACCCCTCGTAAGACCGCCGCCTCCAGCCCCTCGACCTCCTCCTCGCCGCGACCCTCCAAGCTCTTCAAACCCAAGCTGGACCTGAGTTCCGCCCCCAGCGATGGCGCCAACCCGTCGGAAACCGGTTCCCCCCAACTAGAATCCGGCCCGAGGGACCAATGTCACGATAATGTCTCCACCATCTCGACGCCCACGCCCGGCTCCACGACCTCCGGCAACGTCCCCGTCTGGGAATGGACTCTCGGCTCCGCCCATTCCTCATCCGCCGGATCTCTCTCCCAACTCCAAGTCCGAAGCGGTCTGAACACCCTCAACATCAGCAAACACAGCTCTTGCGAACTGGACGAGAGCCTCGGGATCCTAACCCCCGATCAGATGAACGACTTCACCGCTTCGATCGATAGTTCCCTGAACAGAGCCACCTCCTTGGAGGGCTTCCTTGTCGAGAAAGAACCCTCCCAGTCGGAAACGATCTCGGACGTCAAGTACAACGACAACCTGGAAGACGCGCTCAGAGAGGACAACCTGAACGAGTCGCTCAACCTCCTGGACGGGCTCAAAGACTACACCTCCACTGCCTTCGACGACAACTTCTCGTGCAGTTCCAATAAACTCGAGCTCGAGCGCTCCCCGTCCGTGGAAGACCTCCCGATCGACTTCCCGAAACCCGCGGGCCCACCCGCCGTGAGCATCATCACAAGCGTGACGAGCATAGCTAGTTTGGACGGTTACCAAGGTGACGGGGAGCTTTCCCGGCCGGCGAGTCGCGGGGCCGACCACTCGCCCTCCGCACACCAGCCCATCGTCAAGCTCAAGATCGTCGACCCGATGACGGACTCGGACTTCTTTACAGAGTCCGACGCCGACGTCCACGAGGAACTCCAAGGGATCGCCCGGGGCGACCGCCGCGCCCAGGTCATCGACGGGACGCTGTACGGCGGCGTCCCCACGAGCCCCGCCAAGACCAAGTCCCGCAACTCGCACACGGAGGAGATGGACTCCAGCGGGATCTACTCGGACGTGGACAAGATGGCGGCCAACGGGAACGACCAGTTGTCCACCCTCTCGGATCTGATCTTCCAGAAGGTGAGCGCGATGCAGGTCATGGCCGCCTCCTCGCAGCTGCAGAGCGTGCCGGAAACAGGGCTGGACACGACGCTTGAGCCGGAACCAGAAGCCGAGCCTAAGGAGGTGCAGGAGTTGAATGAGAAGAACAAGGGGCTGAACTCCAAGCCGGTGAAGAACGTCAACGAGAAGAAGCACAAGATGCCGAAACGGAACGTGACGTCGAAGATCAAGGCGATGCTGGAGGAGAAGCCCGGGAACGAGGAGAACCGGCAGCCGGCGACGTCGGTCTCTGGGAGGACCCCGGCGAAGAAGCCGGTGGGCAAGTGGGACGCGGTGATGAGCAAGATCGCGCAGAACAAGCAGGAGCAGGAGGATAAGTTGAAGCCCTGCAGGTTGAAGGAGGTCAAGAGCAAGGTCTTCGCCGGGATCAACCTGGCGCCGCCCAAGGAGAACCAGAGCGCCGCGGGAGATACCAAAAGCGCCCGGATGGCCAACAGTAACAGTCAGCGGAAAGGACAGCCCTTGCGGAACCTGACGATAACCCAATCGAACTCCACCAGATCTCTCACTTCCACTAAATCGAAAAGGTAAGTAACGAGTTTCTTCTTAGCCTCTTTTTTTATTGACGCAAGAGGAATTAGTCTTCTCTTTAAGCCGCATGGTGTCTAAGACTTGAAAAACTTGAATTTATTAAAGTACGGATTATAATTTACAAAATCAGTGGTGTGAAATATCAGGAATTTTCTCTCTTTCTGCTTCGAGATAATTTTCTCCCCTTTTTTCAAAGGTGGTCGCCGTATGTTTGGCTTTTAAAATTAAGACAAATGATGAACAATTTCAGTTTCTCCCGTGAATGTTGGTTGGTTTTGAAGAGCTCTCCCTAAGAGAATCTGAAGAAAAATGAGAAGAAACCTCGTGCCTGCGGTTTCCGAAGGGAATTTTCCCCTTAAAAATTCGAAAAATCCGGGAAATAAAAAAAAAGAGAGTTCTAGACACCATGATATTATTCTATTTCAGGTTCCAGTGGATGAAGACGTAGTCGAGCTACGGCGTCTGTTGTTCTGCGATGGGCTGCGTATAATTTCCGCCCACTTTACTCGATTTTATCATTTCCTTCGCATTTCATTTCCGCCCCCTTTTCAATTTCATTCCATTTTTTTAAGCCACACTGAGAGCAGAAGAACAAAAATACTAAAATACATGTGAGGGGGAAAAAACCCCCTCACTAAATGTTGATTAAAGTTGAAGGACATCGCTTTTATCAGTTTCTCTAACTCAGATCTCTTATCATGATATCAATAGAACGTTATTAAAGCTAAAAAGATTTATGTGCATTTTGATAAAAGCAAACGGAACGCACGCAAACTGTATGCACATAGTTTCTTTTGATTTAATTTGTGTTCACATAGTCCCTTTCTCATAAATACGTCGAATTATCGCAACTTTACCATGTGCCAATAGCGAAGTGCCGCGTTGATGCAAACAGCAAGAGAGGAGAGAGGTAAAAGCTAAACTTTAAATTGAATAGCCCACTCTGGGTTTTGGGGGCGTATATCTCCTTCTGTTGGTCTCTAATTGTGTTTTTTAAAGTAGTTTTGACTGATGAATGTTGAATTGGTGGGTGTTTCAGTCGAAGGTGTCGGAACCGCAGCTCGGAATCCAATCTGGAGATTACCATGAAATCGGCCGACTCGATATCGCGCGGTAGCTCCCATGAAAGTTCCTTGTCCGAAGCCAGCGATTCCATCTCCAAAACGACATCACGTAAGTCTCACCGTATGATTTTATCCATCATTATTACCTCCCCATCTGAATTTCACTTTTGAGTCCGATTTAATACATTATACTCGGACCGCTTGAAGCAGAAAGAAACCAAGCCACTTCAGCGATTGTCAAAAATTGGGCAATTCAATTTTCTACGTGAAAACGGCTGTACAGATTTTTGTGCAAACAGAGAACTTTCTGCATAGTACAAACCAAATTCCTAAAAATATTCGAAGGAATCTGCACAAACGTTCTCCTGCAGGAAAAAAATTAAATTGTCCAGTTTAATTCACTGGGGAAAAAAACCCATTGGATCTAGAGTCCAGACTCTTAAAAAATCGACAGGAAAAAATACTCGTGATTCAATCGGATTTTTGCTTAGATCAAGAACCAAGCCTCTTAATTTGAGCGGATTTCCTTTTGATTTAAGCTTAAATCTGATTGAATCGAGAGAATTTTTCTTATCAATGTTTTCAAGAGTCTGGACTCTAGATCCAATGTGTTTTTTTTCCAGTGTTCGACAATAGCCGATGTGGCTTGGATTCTCTCTGCCAAATGAAAAGAGGTTACTAATATTTTGAAATGTATACTAATAGAAACCCGCCATGTCACAAAAAGAGGAACGTGGACCATCGATGTAACCGGAACAAAACATGAATAAAGTTGGTAAGAAATCTGAGTGTTAGCGCGGCTAAAACAAAACTTTTGGTCACCCGAGGCAAAGCTCGAAGTTTGTGACCACAAAATTTCGGTGTGCCGTGTCAGCCGAAGTTTTTTTCTCCGTGTACCATAAATATAGAAAAATAACACACACAAAAATAAAAAAGAATAAATTAAAAAAATCGAAATAAAAAATTAAAATAAAATAATCCAAAATATGTCAGCCAGAGTTCGGTGCTCTCGTGTAGATTGAAATGTTTAAAACCAAAGACTTTTAGATTGAACCGAACTAGAAAAAGAGGATCGAACGAATCGAATTTTTGATTCGACAACGCGAATGATTCGATCGGAATGGAACACCAAACTTCACTGAAAAAAAAGGTAGCTTGGATCAAGCATGATAATTCTTGAATTTGCCGCCAAGAATTTTCTTTATCTTGCTTTAAGCTGACTTTTTCTTGATTCAAGAAAAATAATGCTTGGGTGAAGCAAAAAAGTAGCTTATATTAACCAGCAAAATTCTTGATTTAAGAAGAAATACTTCTTGGCGGCTTTAAGATTCTTTTTTTTCCAGTGTTCGGTCTGTGTGATCGAACTTTTGTCAGTGTGTTCAATCGTTCCTCCAGCTTAATTCAGTCCGGATCGGTTCCGAGAACAAATCCGCCGTCAGCGCTAAAATTACAAGCCGTAATAAGCGAGAACGCGAATCAATAATCAAGACTTAACGACGAGCAGCAGAAATCGATTAACACTTCGACGGCCGATCAGTGTCGGGGCGGTGGGACGGGGGCTTTAATAGCGTGCTAACGACACGCGTTGCTCCACATAAAACGGTTTGTTTCCCGAAAATCGCTCCTCATCTGTGGGTTTTTTATGACTCGTCTCACACACGGTCACCGTCGAATCGGGGGGTTACCACTTATATTAACATAAATGACGCGCGTTTCTAAATATCCGTCGAAAATCGTGTCAGGACTTGGCCGAGATCTTCGGTTCGCATCGACGTGTCCGTAATTAGACAGTTTGCGATTCCAGTGTTCACAGCAGTAGAGCCCACGCCATGTAAATATACTCACATTTAGACTGCACTGGAAAAAAAAACACATTGGATCTAGAGTCCAGACTCTTGAAAACATTGACAAGAAAAAATACTCTTGATTCAATCGGATTTTTGCTTGGATCAAAACGAAATCCGCTTAAATTAAGAGGCTTGGTTCTTGATTTAAGCTAGATTCTGATTGAATCAAGAGTACTTTTTCTTGTCGATGTGTTTGAGAGTCTGGACTCTAGATCCAGTGTGTTTTTTTCCAGTGTGCGACAGAATATATTGCATTTACTTTACATGTAAACTTGACGTCAGGCGATCTTCTGTCGCAGTTTATTAGAAGTGCGCAAACTTATTTGGCTTGGATTCTTAACTTGTGTGGCTAAATTAATCGAATGTAGAAAGAGGAAAGATACAGCTTATATTGCATGTTTATAGAAAGTTGTATTCAGGCGAATCTGAGTAATCTATGAACGAAAACCGCTTCTAAACTGAAACCAAAACACACAGTGAAAGTGCAGTGTGTCAGTAAAAATAATGTTTTACTTTAACACTGGTGCTTCTCATTAACTACCATCATACCATCTTTCCAAAAAATTACACATCAGAAAAAAATATCTCTCTTCGTTCAAATGAAACCCTAAAATTTTTAGCTCCGGAAACGGAAATTTTCGGACTTGGGGACCGAACTTCGGTCAGTTACCTACATTTTTTATTGAGCATAATGTGAGCATTTCTTACCGAGTTCGGATATCTGAATCCAAGTTTGGTTCGTAGGACCGAAAACGTTGACGTTCAATCATGAGTGAAGTGGCAAAAAAGAAAAATCGGCGATAAAATATAAGACACAACTCTTTTTGTGTAATTTGTGGAACAAAATCGCTACTTTTGTAATATTGAACCTGAACATAAATTCGCTCGCAGTAAGATACGTTGCAAGAAATAATTTTGCAACAATCTAAACTGACTCTCTCATAGTCAGTGCGATGTTTGGTTACACAGAGAGAGCAGTAAAGCACTGTAAGTTTCAACTCTTGCGTGCCCCTTCAACGAGCATAGGTAAACTAATGTATGGCGGCTCAAGCAACTCTATCGACCCCGTCACTGTGCGTGTGGCATGCCAGCAATTGAAGGCGTTTTATCTTTCAGCAATCTCCAGTTCGCTCGAGTCATACTGTCCCTCCGTGCCGCGCCCGTTCTATGCATGAACTGTTCTATGTCTGCCTCTGCCATATTACCGAAAAAATCAATAAGGACTCATGTTTCGAAATCAAATTTTCTTCAAAATCCGACTCATCTAATTTTGAGCGTTTTTAGAGATTCCACTGAAACATTAAAATCCGAGTCATTTGCATAAAGGTAGAGTATGGAGGAACGGAAAACCATGAGAAAGGGAAGAATACGGAAGAAGGAAAGAAAAAGACGATGAGGAAAAAAAGAACACACACACACAGCACAAAAAATGAAGGAGGAGGAGAAAACGAGGAAAAAGAAATGTACTGTTCCTACTTTCCTTCTTTTTTTCCCTGTTCATCCTCGTTATCTTCTCCTCCTCCTCTTTCGCACCTATCCATCAACTTCTCCTTTTTTCTTCTTTTTCTTTTTCATCGTCCTCTTTTTCGTTTTCTCTCCTCTACCTTTCTTTCCGCCTCCTGCTTTCTGCTTCTCCTTCTTTCAATGTTTAATGCGTCCTCACCCTCTTCCGGCTTATTCCTGAAGACCGATGGTCTGGGTCTGTCAGACCACAATTAAATACCATTTGAAGCCTGAAGTGTGGGGCCTCCAGAATATTTAACCCACGGACCAATCACCTCCAAGCGGGGGACGAGCAAATATTTATGGAGGAAACGATGCCCGCGAGGGCATAACTGCTCCTATTATCAGCACTTCATTACTACACAGGGCGTTGAATTCCCTCATTGTCCCGCAACAATGCGACCCCGTTACGCGGAGC